GAGAGAGAGAGAGAGAGAGAGAGAGAGAGAGAGAGAGAGAGAGAGAGAGAGAGAGAGAGAGAGCTCATGACACCCGCACGTGACCCCACCCCACGATGTTCCACCGTTACGCTTCCAGTTTCGAGCCCACTCGGCATCGAAAAAAACCGGCACGGACTTTTCGCTCGCTCCCCCGCAACGCGGCCGAGGGAATGCACCGAATGCAAAGCACGCTGGCAGGATCAAACGAACCTTTCACGAGCCCCAGGTATGAACAACTCACATCGGACCAACGGGTGTGTTGGAGGCCGGTAGAAAACTCTCCAAAACCCGTTTCATGACAACGCACACGGAAAAAAACGCCCGACGCATGCAGCAGATTATGCTGGGCCCACGCCCCCTGTCCCGAGCCTTTTCCAAGACTGGAAGCCTGACCTGGCGGGACCGTCACGCCAGACCCGGCTTACACTTTAGTAAAAAGAGTACAGAAAAAAAAAGGGAAAAGAAAAAAGGATAACCAATGAGCCTAAGCTCAGTTGGTACACCCATGAACTGTTGAAATATAGTCCCGCGTTTGGATGCAGTCACAAAATGAACAGAATAACATACTTCTGAATTACCTGAGCCTGGTCAGTTCAACGATGATATCTCAAGGCCATCGCCCTTTATCAAAAACAGAAAAGGAAACACATACAAAGGAAAATCATCCACTCCTCGTTAAGAAAATAAAAATAAAAAAATCATCCACTCCCAGACTATACTGTCACATTCACTGCAACGGCAACAAATCTGAAAGCACTGCCTTACCATCAATGCATCTGAGCACAATTCTAGTCATAGTACAGGTAGCCAGGAGGGAAACCAGTTCCAGTTCCAATTCCAACCAAACACAGACCCTGTCATCAACAAAAAGACAGGCTTGCATCCAAAGACAATCAGCTACATTTTTTATAAAAGGACGCACGTGTTCGCAATCTGAAAGCAGTTCCTTACCATCAATGCATCTGAACACGATTCCAGTCACAATACGGTTAGCCAGCAGGAAACCAATTCCGATCAAACGCAGACCCTGACATAAAAAAGAAGGACAGGCTTGCATCCAAAGACAACCAAATACATTGATAAGAGCACGCGCGTGTTCCGTGCAGTTGTTCACAAAGTCCCTGCATGAAAAACCACTGACAGAAAATACCAAGGACGTGACGATAACGTCAGCAGAACTTCACAAGGAAAACCGCCGACAGAAACTATACCCTCTTACTTCACTGTCAAAGTCGCGCACGGGGTTCGGTTGTCACAATCTGACCTGAAAACCCAAGAAAAATTGACAGACGACTACAGCCCTCGTACCGCACTAACAAAATAAAACAATGGGTTCTGTTGTCACAATGCGAACTGAAGACCCAGAGGAAAACTGACAGAGAACTACGCCCCTCTTACTTGACTGTCAGAGTAAAGCACTGGGTTCTGTTGACACAATGTGACCTGAAGATCAGCAGATAACCTGCCCGTAACCCACAGACCACCCACAGGTAATACACAGCCTAAAACCAACATAACGAACAAATATGACAGAGAAAAGCCACATATGCAGGTAATACAATGTGACCGAGGCTAAAAATAACTCAGAGAAAACCCACATAACAGACAAATATCCTAGGAGACGTTCCCAAGGAAAACCAACAGATAGCTACACCCTCTCAATTTACATCACAGCAAGCGCTGGTTTTTGTCGTCCGAATGCGACCGGAAAATCAATAGATCGCCCTCAGGCAACCCACAGATGACCCACAGTTCACGGCCGTAAATAACCCACAGATAACCCTCAGATAACGCACTGATGACACACTGATGACTACACCGTTCTTGCTTCTCATCGGAATGAAACCCAGAGGTCTTTCGACACCCTTCTTCCACTCAGCAGCAGTCCAGACTCAAATGCATTCCGAGGTGACCAGAAAAGAGAGAGAGAGAGAGAGAGAGAGAGAGAGAGAGAGAGAGAGAGAGAGAGAGAGAGAGAGAGAGAGAGAGAGAGAGAGAGAGAAG